GAAGTTTCACGGAATAAACCGTTGCCACAAAGATTTGGCATGTACTCCCGCTTCTCATGGAAGTTCTACTCACTACTCTGGACAAACTTGAGCACCTTGGCTTTAAGCTTGATCACTGGCAGAGGGATCGAAAGCGCCATGCTTTTAAAAGGAAAAAAGAGCTAAGAAGTTTGATTGCCTCCCTTATGAAGAACGATATTTCTGTGGAAAACGTGGACAGCTTACACTGTGCATGCCGGGAGTTTAGGTGGCTTTTGGTTCGCTGGAATGTTTATGAGGGAATTGAAATCTGTGAATGAATTGGAATCTGTAGGAATTAGAATCCAATTCCATATTCTGTTTGGTTGGCAGGAAATGGAATTGGAATCCAATTCCATATTCCGTTTGGTTCACAGACATATCAGATGAATTTGATTTCAGTAATGTAAAATGACAGAATTGTCCTTCTTATTTTTTTTGTTTTATTTTAGTTTATTTTACAACTTACATGTAGTAATATATATAAAAAATTAAAAAAAATATTAAATTTTCATTTTATTGATTGATTATTCATTTCAATAAATTATAAAAATCATGCTAATAAATATTATAAGTTAAAATCATCGCAATCAAAATATGTTAATAAATTACCAAAAGATATAGCATTATTTCGATACATTCCAATCGAATTATGTTAATTAGTTACCAAAAAATATACTAAAAACTATTTTTATTCAATATATGAATTAGAAACTCGACCCGACACGACTCAAAATAATAAAAAAATTATTTTTATTCAATAAAAACATTGACTTAATTGAAAAAAATTATATATAGAGGGGTATTATTGTAATTATTCCTAAATATATAAGGTAAAATTATATATTTTTTTCGGGTCGGTCCGGTTTTTTTCACCCTAAACCCGAACCCGAGCCGACCTGACCCGAATATCACACTTAAAAAAACCCGACCCGACTCGAATATCACACTTAAAAACCCGACCCGACCCGAACAAAATAAAGTTTCATCCGACCCGACCCGAATATATGAATTAGAAATCCGACCCGACCCGAAATAATAAAAAAATATTTTTATTTAATAAAAACAGTGACTTAATCCGACTCGACCTGAATTATATATATTTTCGGTTCGGTCCGGTTTTTTCACCCTAAACCCGAACCCGACCCGAATAGCACACTTAAAAAAACCCGATCCGACCCGACCAAAATAAAGTTTCACCCGACCCGACCCGAATATATGAATTAGAAACCCGACCCGAAATAATAAAAAAATATTTTTATTCAATATATAAATAAGTTACCAAATGATTTATGAGTGTAGTATGGTCAAATTTCAATTCCCTCCAACAAGCTAATTGAATTTCATCCATTTTTGGATGGAATTCACTTTCCCTAATTGAATTCCATCAGAGATTCTAATTCCTTTAAAAACTTGAACCAAACATGGAAACTGGTAGAATTAGATTCCAATTCCCACCAATTCCAAGGGATCCAATCAAACGCCACCTTAAGGATATTCTTGATAGGGAAGAGGTCGTGTGGATGCAAAAAAGCGAGAGTGGCGTGGTTGAAAAACAAAGACGGTTTCATGCAAGGGCGAATGGGAGATGGAAAAAAAGGGTTAAAGTTATCTACAACAGTCTTGGTGAGTGGAAGGAAGACTCTGAGGATGTTTGCGAGGTAGCCACTGACTTCTTTTACCGGGCTCTTCACTTCTTCCGGAAACGGGAGTTCGGATTGGATCTTGCACGCCGTCGACAAGTGCATCACCCCAGAGGAAAATGAGAAGTTGTGTGCCGAGTTCACTAAAGGGGAGGTCCAAGTTGCTTTTCGACAAATTAACCCACCAAATAAAACTCGCGGTATTGATGGCGTACATGCTTCTTTCTTTCGTTTTTATTAACATATCTTATGTAATGATGTTTTATCTTTACGTCTTTCTTTGTTTCTTTGTTGAATGGATCGGCAAACTTTGAGGATGTTAACCGAACCGTTATTGTTCTTATCCTGAAAGTTGACTCTCCTACTTTAATAAAAAAAGCTTTAGGTTGATCAGTTTATGTAGGCTTATCTACAAGATTGTGTCAAAAGTTATTGCTAACCGTTTTAAATCTCTAATGCGCTCTTGTATTTCGAAAAATCAATGTGCCTTTGTTCCTGGTTTCTTGTATTCAGATAACTTTGTTGTTGCCCATGAGCTTTTTCATTATTTAAAGAGCTCCAAAAATAACCCTAAACTTGATACGGAGAAAGCCTACTATATGTTCGAATGAAATTTTATCTCTGATATTATGAACCATCTTGGCTTTGACCCCGTTTCATTAACTTGATCATGAAATGCATTAGATGCATGTCACATATTGTTTGCGCATCAATGACCAAGTTTCAGGTTTTTTCAAGCCGAAGCGGGGATTGAAACAAGGGGATCCTCTCTTCTCGTACCTTTTCCTTTTATGCCCTCAAGGTCTTTCGACTGCCCTTTTTTCGGAACAGAATAAAGGCAACATTAAAGGGGTTCGTGCCAGCTTGAGAGGACCTCGGATCAACCATCTTCTTTATGTCGATGACTGTCTCCTATTCATGAAGAATTCTGGGAGTGAAGCTCGACATTTGAAGAGGGTGCTGGAGGATTATGAAAAGATCACGGGGAAAAAAGTGAATCTTGAGAAATAGAGGACAAAAGCACTATTTCGACTATTCTGGGAGTGTAAGAAGGAAATGACCCAGTTTTTATCTTGGACTGCCTTTTTTCGTTGGAAAAAACAAGATAAATATTTTTTGGTTTCCTTCGAGATAAGGTCTCCAGGCGCATTAAGGGATGGACCAAGAACCTGTTGTCAACCGGTGGCCGATAAGTTTTTATCAAATCTGTGGGGGAGGCACTTCCAACCTATGCAAATACAACAACAACAACAAAACTCTGATTTCCATATGTAATGGGATAAGGAAAAGTAGGGTAGTATACTGACCCCAACGCCAGGTTGAGAACAGCTTCCGTGGAAGACCTCCGGTAGTCAGAAAATTAAAAATAAAGATAAGATGCAAATGCGTGTATAAATAAATAAATAAATATATAGATGAACAGTTTTCATATGCAGTTTTGATATGTGCGTCTGTAATAGAGAGTAATCCCTGTAAATAATTCCCTGCAAATAATTTCCTACATAGAAATCTCTGCATATAGACTGAAAATGTAAGACCCAGCTAAATTTAAAAAGAGGAAACATGAATATAAATGATACACCTAAGTCAATAATAGCATTATTTCAACCTATGCAAATACATGTTTCCTAATTCCACAGGGTCTTCTTGATTCCATTATCTCAGAAATTCGTCGCTACGGGTGGTCCAAGAAGGACAAGAAAGCATGGGCTAATCTGTAAGAATGAACAAGAAACTGATCTGCATGCCCTAAAAGACGGTTATTTTGATGAGGGTTTTCAGCCTAGCAAAGAATGGATGGAGAAGGCTGCCTCGGTTCTCAAAACTGATATGTTTACAAAGTTTCTGCCGCTGATTTGGAACCGGCGCAATAAACAGATCCATAAGGTGTTCTTCATTTCTTCAACCTGCACGTGTTGTTATCGATTTTGCTTGGCTCTTCGGTGTTGATTTCCTTGAAGCACGTCGTGGAACTGAGGTGCCAGTCCAGGATAGAATCATGAAGAATCCCTCTAACTGGACCAAACATACTGCTAGTAGGGTCAAGGTCAACGAGGACGAAGTCTTTTTACCGGACTCCAATTCTGCAGCGACACCGGTGTTGTCGCCAGGAATGAACATGGGATGGTTGTTGGTGGCCATGCGAGAAGATTGCAGGGCATTTCTTCTGCCGAACTGATAGAAGCAATCGCCTTGAATTATGGGATCGAATTGGCTCATGAGATCGGTTGGGTTTTGGTTGACGTGGAGAGTGACTCTTAGGCTGCGGTGAACAAGGTGCTCACGCCGAATATAAGTCACGGATTCATAAATTTAAGAATAAAGTTTTAAATTTAATTTTTTTTCAAAAAATAATGGATATGCAAAAACTTTTCTTCTTCCTTTTTTTCCTTAACATATTAAACTAAAATTAATTATTTTTCTACGTCGAATATGAATCTCTCAGTAACTAGTTTTCACCTCCGGCAGGCTCGTGCTTGTCTCAGGAATGAGGCCTCATTCACTGTTCATCACATCCCTCGACCAGCAAATAGGACAGCCCACGAGTTAGCAAAATGGGGCCTATCTTGTACCTCACCTGTTTGCTTCGTTTATGAACATCCTGATTGTATTGCTCTTCGATGAATGAATTGAATTTTCCTTTAAAAAAATTTCTTTACATAATCCATGACCATGGCCATGACCCTTTTTCTAACTAAAGACAAAATAACTTTTTGACCCTCAAACTTCATCACTTGATGCATTTTAACCCATTCACTTAATTTGAAATTCCCACCCCAAAACTTTTAAAATTACTTACAACGTTTCATTAAGAAAAAGAAGACCCTTATTAGTCAACAAACAATAAAAAATAAGAGCCCTTTGCCGTAAAATAGAACATTGTGGAGAAAATATTAAAAAGAGACTAAAGTGACTATATAGTTAAAAGCTACTCTTTCTACCCTAAATGAAAACATAATAAACCCAAATGCTCCAAAAAAAATCACGTTAAAGGAAATTTTATTATATTATGCCGATTTTAAATGTGTCCCTTATTTTTTTACTGTAGTGTCAATTTTATATTTTAGCCATTAACGAAATATTACAATAAAGGACAGGAGAACCCAAAATATTAGATATGTAACAAAGGTGTTTAGGGATTCATGCATAACAATAGAACAATTATGGACGCTGATCTAATTTACATGTTTTCAGCATTTTCTAGCATCAATTTACAAACCTATACAAGCCATAGCCAAATCAGTTCCAGCAATAAAAAGCACAATTTAGGGTCAGATTTAATGAAGTTGCCATTACACTTTTAATTGGAAGCAAAATGTCTACAACTTACAACCCTCAAGTTATTTTTTCCCTTCCTAAATTACTAATTACATGCAGGATATTACCTAGAATTTAAGCACCATACTGGCTTTAAGGGGAAAAAAGGAAACTAGTTATGAAAACCACATCCGAAAGAGACGGGTGCCGATCCAACGGACCAGATTACCGAAAGTTGCAAATCCCTGTTCATTATATAATCATAATTGAAATTGAACTCCTGAAAACCATGGCATAGGAAAACCTAGTACCCACAACCGAGTTGGTGAAGGCTGTATTCCGAAAAGCCATGTCCCATTCAAAGGTTTATTATTTGCCACCAAACTTGAAGATCAGACAGGCCAGGTCCGCAACATTCTTCTGTGACAAACAGAAAAATAATAAGATTCAATCACTTTAAAGGGAGGAGAGAGGGTGTAGTTTCTTAACATTGTTGGTTTTTCCGGAACTCTGTAAGGACAGGATATATGTTCTCGAAGGCTGTGTATGTCTCATCTCTCACCTGAGACTCAAACAAAGAAAAATAGTAACTCAATCATAAATAGCATGCATGAAGGTTGAACACAGGTTCGAGGTATCACCTTAGCTCCGGTGATCACAATCTTCCCTGACACAAAAATAAGAAGCACGATCTTTGGTTGTTTCATACGATAGATCAGGCCCGGAAAGAGTTCTGGTTCATACTGCATTAAAAGAACATTAAAATAAGTCCCAATCATTTACCCTGACAAACAAGTCTTGACAAACACTGCTTTTCATCTAGAACTACACAAAAAAAGGCTAAAGCCCAAACATATCTTCTTGTTCTCAAGGCTATTTTACCAGACAAATGATAACTCACTTTCAACTTCATAACATATAATGTTTCAAAATAATTTGACCAAATATTTTGGTCACCGTCCCTGAGCTCAACAAATGTAAGGGTAAGTAGACTCCACGGGACTCGTAAGAAAAGACTAACTATATAAATAAACATACACATAGATAAATGCATACGCAGTCTTGCACTGATCTCAGACTCCCAAATGTCCACCTATAAAACATGCATATCAATGTTCATATACACAAGGAAACAATCCAATGAACGCTGACCGCCACTTACACTTGAAAAGGCACCATGGGAGTATGCAAGACCTTCAAGTCTGATAGGAAATTTAACATCACAAGAACCAACAATGTTCTGAATCTTGAAGTCCTGCCAATAACAGCAGAATAAGGTAAAGGACTGACCAAGTAGGGGAAAACACTATTGAAGGATGAAATTTCAGTCAATTTGCGAGACGTTATGAGCATTGTTTGAACGGGAGAAATATAAAAGAAATCAACCATTACAGTACCTTAAACTTAGCAGGAAAACCAAGCTTTTGGATAATTCTGGCATACTGAAAAGCAGAAAAACTTCTCAGTTACTCACTGGTTTCACAATTGTATCTTCCTGTTCTAACGAAAAGAATAACTGCAGAACATAGTTCAAAAACAGATTTAAAAAGCATGTCAAAGATAAATATCTACCTTCCTTGCAGCCAGTTTAGACTGCTGTTCGCTTTTTGCGCCAGTGCAAACCTTAAGCAGCAAGGAAAGTTGTTTAGTAAATCAATAATTGAATAATGATAACACACTAGCACTAGTTATTTACTAAATTATTTTGGCGCTAAAACTTCCACACGGCCAAATAGCTGCATATGATTATGATTTCCGATAAGAAATGAATTACCATCTTTCCAGAGGCAAAAATCAGAGCTGTAGTTTTGGGCTCCCTGATTCTCATAATGACAGCAGCAAAACGCTGTAGGTATATTTTTTTATAAAAAAGGTTAGCGACCAAATAACAGCAGCTGCACAAACTATATCAAGAGATAACAAGATCCATCAGTAAGTAGTATACCTTCGGATTATACTCGGCGTTTCGAGCTTGCAGAGCAATCTGCTTAAGATCCAACTTGCAATCTAAGTTTACAGTTGATACAATGTTCCTAGGAAAACAGTAAGAGTAAAACAAGATATTAACTACAGCCAAATCCAATAGTTTTAATAGTAGAAACACGAAGAAACTTATGTAAAGTCTCACTCCTAAAAATAGATTTCCCAATCACATCAGTTTCAGTTTCCTGTTAGTATCAGTTAGGGACATGTTAGGGCATAAAACAAAGTCAGGCACCTCAACTTATTTGTCTGGCTGATCCTTCTTAATAACAAGAATTAAGAGATGTGGTTTAAATGGCATATCATTTCAAAAGCAGACAAGTGAATTAAGCTTATTAATGATATTTTATATAATTTAATTATATTACCCACCATCTACATCTAAGAAACTCTATTAGCATAACGAAACGCAAAACAATATCATCAAAAGACATCTAATTAAAGCCTTCCACTATTATGGTACAAAATCACACTCAAGTGTCCTTTAAATTTCCAATCAAGCCTACTCAACCCTACATAAAACGGAACACATTTCTCTAAAATTCTTTTCAACGTTCACAAACAAACACCAGTCCACAAGCTAACACAGCATATCCCTAAATTCCTCATTATTCCCGCAACATAATCAAAACCCATTTCACAAACTTCTCGTCGTCAGCAAACCATAAGTACGAATATATGCGTGGGAGATCCTACAGGCCATTCTATCTTCAGCTGGTTCTTAAAAGGTAAGCGTCGGTGGCAGACTCCTTTCCTAAAAGGCAGCAGCTGGAGTTGGACAAAGTTGCTGCAGCTTAGAAGAAAAGCTCAGCGTGTCATTAAGCAGGCGAATGAGGCTATGGTGTGGCCTTTCCAAGGGCACAAGCATGATGTGACGGTCAATTAACCGTGATTTAATGCATACCTACCCAAAACTCTAACTCACAATTACCCACCGATCCACAAACTCTATCCAGCAAAAAGATCATTCAACTTATAAAAGCACCAAGACTAAACTCATATCCCCAAAACACCTTCCTTTTTCTCCCGAAATAACACCTAATCTTCTAAAGATCTCCCCATTTAAAACCTATATAAAAGCAGGTCAATGAAGACGACAAGAGAGACAAAATAGAGACTTACTGAAGAGTGGGAACAATGCCAGATGGATGCTTAGAAAGATCCACTGGTTGGCTCCCTTCGAAGCCACCTTGTTCCGCCATTCTCTTCTTCGTTGTTCACCCAAAAATTCCGAAACAAAATCCCCAATATTTTCCGAAAACAGGACTGGGTTTTCTTCTAAACACACAATTCCAGAACAACCCAATCGAATTCGCCAAATCTAATAAACCCGTTGACCAAAAAATTAGGTTTTCTTTTTAAAACGTTATAATCTAAACAAATTTAATCAAATTCAACCCATTAAAAGACATAGTCTACAAATTCGGAGGGAATGAAGAAAAAACACAACACAGAAACAGATCAGATCGGGTTCATTCAAATCCAAGCAAATTCACCAATTTTTCAATGGAAAAAGATTGGGGGATATTAAACGATCGCCTATAAATATATCGAAATCGGAGGGAAAATTGAGGGTAAGAGTTTGAAAACGAGAGCCTTATATATATATATATATAGAAGAGAAGATTTTGGATTAAGATAAAAGAGAGAAAAAGGAATGGATTTGAGAGGGCATCGATTTGATGATGAGATTTTTGAGGGTTTCGTTTATAAGGAAGGGGGAGAGGCGGTGATTCAATCGGGGTCCCCTTTTGTACCCTACTCTTCTTATTTATAGACCTTGACTCGATTGGCCGGTTAAGAAACGTCAGATACCGGTTTTTGCCGGTTATGATGGGGAAAAGCTTGCCTAAGCTAATGTAATTTATTACTAAAATAATTATATTTAATGACTTTATTTTAAAAATATATTTTTTTCAATAATAATGAATTTAATTTAGTTGATATGAATAATTTAGAAAAAATCAAATTCAATAAAGTATTTGTTGAGTTGATGTCAAATTAATTATGTTTTAATATTTTTTTATAGAGTTTGTGCCGAGTTTATTTGTATTCACCTCGTATAAATTAGGATAAATTATACGAATGATCTTTTATATTTGAGGTACATCTGATTTTTTCATCAGTTAAAAAATTAGTTTTGATTCTTATATTATTAATTCGTTTCGTTTTAGTCCCTCAATTATTAGGGCAAATTATGACAATAGTCCTCTTTATTTTCGATCTGATCGATTTTCTAATTAAATGTGTTTGGTCCCCTATGTTATCTATTTGTCTGGTTTAAGTCCCTCAATCGTTAACTCTAGTAAATTCATTTACAAATCTGAGTTGGCAATTAAAAAATTAAAAAAAAAAACACGTGTAAATTCAAACACAACCCACATTACTTCCTCTTCTTCTTCACCATAAACGTACTTGACAGTTTGTGAAGCAAAGTCCAACCCTATCATGTAACGAAAAAGAGATGATATTCTGAGCACTCCTAATCTTTAGAACTTGGAAAAGCAAAGAATATAGACACTAGATGTTGAAATTTGATAGAAAAAGGATGGGCGTGGGGGGACAATAATCAACATGCAAGATCAGGTAGTTTGACTTACCATTATTCTCCAGATTGAAAAAATGGAGCCATATATCGCCCCAAAAAGTATAGATTCGCTACCACAGCCAAATCCTCTTGTCGCCATTGTTTGTTTTTTCTGATGAATCTTGTAAGTAAAAGCTACGCCAACGCGAGCACTTTCGTCGATCATAGCAATCGCCGTCATCGGCATTTTAGCCACCGGTTTCTTGTTAGTCGGCTACTACGTCTTCGTCCTCTTCTTCTTCGGCGAGTATCCAATATTTATATGCTTTGGATATTATGGAGGGTGTTAAAAAGGCCAAGGATGAGAAGGGTATCACTGTTAATGAAAATGAACTCGGTTTGATCGATAACGAACCGGTCGGCGGCAGGGCGATGCGGTTGCGGAAAGTGGTGAAGTAGAAGGTGAAGAAGAAGACCAGCAAAGGAAAACATGTTGAGAGAAATGAAAAGACTGATGTTATGGTTGAAGAAGAGGAAAAAGCTGAGGAAAAAGTCATTGTCATGAATAAGTAAAGTCATCTTTGACCCTCATCTCTAGTCTACAGTATTTTTATCTCTGTTCTATAGATAAAATAATAATTTTTTGGAAACGAAAAGAAGAAGAACAATTAATCTCTATTATTTTTTATTGTGTTTGGAATGAACTTTGATGATCTTGGAGGGAGTGGAGGGGGTGTTCTGATTATTTGTTAAATTATTGTGTTTAAGTTGTTGGTTAAAATGTTGTTTGAGTTTTATTAGTATTTTCTATATTTTTATGTTTGTTGTAGTTTTTATATTTCAAAAAATTAGTATGTTTATTTATCTAATTTTAATGTATTTTTATCTATATTACAATTTATTCTATTTGAATTTACAAAAAAAATAAAAAAAATTACAACAAAAAAAATTAATGTGGCGTTGCTACAGCGCAAAGCTACATCTGGCGTGCACTATAGCAGATCATCACAATAGAGCTGCAGATTGACGATGTGCTGCACCACTCCAAAGTGGAGATATGCGCCACACTGGAGCAGCGCTAGAGATGCCCTAACGTGGGTTGTTTTGAATTTATGCGTGGGTGTTTTTTATTTTTTTATTTTTAAATTGTTAATTCAAATTTTTGTTAATGTGTTAACGAAAATTAATAATTGAGGGATTTAAACTGGACAAACCAATAACATAAAGAATCAAACGTACTTAATTAGAAAATCAATGACTAAAGTTAATCATGCCGAAAACAAAATAGAATATTGGCATAGTTTATTTTTTTATTATTATGTGAATATTAGATATAGACTCTAAGCTGGAGCACATACTGCTTTCATGAGCCGACTCTATTGCCTATGAACTTACACCGTCAACCATTTAAAGTAAATACATAAAATTATGGGTTAAGATCCCATTTATTTATTTTTTTAGTGCACGAATTATCACTTCTTAATGCCAAGAAATTTAATCAGTTCGGTTCGATGCTTGCGTTCGTCCACCGTTTCCTTCCAAAAAGATTTATTTTTGACAATCCATGCCAAAAGCAATGCCAATGGGAGGAGTTCAAGAGCAACTATGAGGCATAAGTTTAAGTAGGCAAAATCCACGAGATAATGTTCTCTAAATTTTTATTTCACGATATAATGTTTTGGACATATTATTTGCTGAGATAGTGTGAATTCAACAGTGAAGCTGTAGGTCGCCATGCATTCAGGGCGAGCTATGCAGGGAGTTGTGCATGGGCCATGCACGTCGAATTTCCTTTGTGTAGGTCGCCAAGCAGTCTCGGCGACATGGTAGGTCGCCATGCATGCCCGACGACCAAGCTGGCGACCAAACTTTAACCCTCTGCTCCCTCATGCATGCGTTGCATCCATAGCTGGGAGATTCTTGCACCCATAGTTGGGAGATTGCAGCCAAGCTTTAACCCTCTGCTCCGTCATGCATGCGTTGCATCCATAGCTGGGAGATTCCTGCATCCATAGCTACATTATTGCAGCGTTAATTTAGCTGCTAAATGCAGCAAATATTGATGTTGAATTGTAGCCTTTCAACGCTCAATAGTTACACGATTCAATGCTCAATATTATTTGCTTCAACAATCAAATTTAATAACGCTCTCCAACGCTCATTTGTTTTATATAAAGGATATGGGGGTTTAGGGTAGAAGCAGAAGCAGCACATATAGAAACTTTGCTTAGAGAAAGAAAATAAAGAATAAGAAAAGAAGATAAAGGCTCAAACATTCTTTTTTTGAGGTAATTTTTTATTGTTTAATTTAGTTTATTATATGAAATTATTAGTTTGTTAGTTTAGGGTAAAACTAAAATTTAGTTAATTAGTTTGTTAGTATAAATTATTAGTTTGTTAGTTTAAGTTATATTATATTAGTTTGTTAGTTTAAGTTATATATTATATTATATAAAAAATTAGTAAATTAGTTTCTTAGTTTAAGTTATTAAATATAAAAAAATTAATTAATTTGTTAGTATCTTTAAACGTATATTAGGTTGTTTGTTGAAGTTATATTATAAAAAAAAATTAGTGCTTAATTAGTTTGTTAGTTTGTTATTTTAACTGAGTTATATTATAATAAAGAAATAGTTTATTAGTTTAAGTTATATTATAATATATTATATTATATAAAATTAATTTGTTTAATTTATTGTTGTTTAAAGAAATATTTTGCTTACACATACAGGGTATTATTCCACAACATTTGCCCACGTACAGATTGATTCGAAGAAAGAAACAAGAAAGGAAAAGAAAGTGTTGAAAACATTTTGATATTTCGATATAACAAATTAAGTTAAATGAATTTTAAGATTTTCCAAATGATTTTCTAAGTATATTCGATATAACTATTCGAATATCAAAATATTACTCCAAATCTTTCAAAAATCATTTTTAATCTTTCTCAAGTGTAAAATTAAGTTTTAATCTTAAAACAATTTCAAAATAATTTTACAAAGTATTTCAAAGTATTTCAAAGCCAAAAATTCCAGATTGCTCAGAGGGAACCGATTCCCCCCCAAGGGGGTACCGATTCCCCCCAAGGGGTACCGATTCCCCCTGAATGGTTTGGCTCCGAGAATTCCAGTATGCTCAGAGGGAACCGATTCCCCCTTGTATAACGGTCGAAATATTTGAATTTTACACTTAGGGAACCGATTCCCCATAGGGGGTACCGATTCCCCCCACGCTCCAAGATGTTTTATTAATTGTTTTCACACTAAAACGGCTATATGATCTTCACTAATCATCCCCAACGTTCAGAAGTGATTCAAGGTGTATTTAAATAAGTTCTGAAGCCTTTGATCAATAAGAAATCATAGA